GCAGAGAAGCTGTAATTGAGCTGACAACTTGAGCCACCAGTCGGTTCAGATTGGTATACGTGGGCCTTTCAATATCCAGGTTACGCCTGAAAAAGGGAAAAACTCAAATATCAGATAAAGGTCTCCCTGTAGTGCATAAAAGCTACCCTAAATGTTGATTGCTCACCTGCAAATGTCATAGACGGCCTCGTTGTCAAAAACACTACAACAGTCTGCGTGTTCCAGGGTGGTGTGCGTGCAAAGAATAGAGTTGTAGGGTTCCACAATCGCGGTCGAAATCTGTGGCGCCGGGAAGATTGCGAACTGGAACTTTGACTTCTTGCCGTAGTCCACACTGAGACGTTCCATCAGGAGAGAGGTAAAACCGGAACCGCTACCACCGCCATAAGAGTGGAATACAATGAAACCCTGCATTCCGGTGCACTGATCGGCCAGTTTACGGATGCGGTCCAAGACCAGGTCAACCATCTCCTTGCCCACAGTGTAATGACCACGGGCATAGTTGTTTGCAGCATCCTCCTTGCCACTAATGAGTTGTTCGGGGTGGAAGAGTTGACGATATGTGCCCGTGCGTACCTCATCTTGACAACCAAATGAAGGCATTCAGTGGCAATAAAAACTAAATTTTCAAACATCGGGATTACATGCGCACACAATACTTGTTTGCTAACTTAAAAGGAATTTGGGCGCAATATATGAACGTGCAGAAAACTCCTTAGTGTTTTTACTTAACTGCAGATTTCAAAAAGTACCATGGCAACAGCCCTAGCAACCGAAACAATGTCGTCTTATCTACTGCAAAAAACGTTTTCTGGATACAAATTTCGGCCCCAAATTTGTCGACATAAGGCTTAAAAGTTTGTGAATAAGAAGCAGACACTCACCAATAACAGTCGGCTCCAGATCAACTATTACTGCTCGTGGAACGTGTTTTCCGGCCCCGGTTTCACTGAAGAATGTTTGGAAGGAGTCATCACCGCCTCCGATAGTTTTGTCACTGGGCATCTGGCCATCAGGCTGGATTCCGTGCTCTAGACAGTAGAGTTCCCAGCAGGCATTTCCGGTTTGCACACCACCCTGACCGATGTGAATACTGATAACTTCACGCTGTAAGGAGGAGGAAGCAAGAAGTATGATTAGCTAGCCATTCCATAGAGCAGACAAGAAAGGAGAGTAAAAACGCCACGGACCATATTGCGGAGTTGGAGGCAGAGAAGGCTAGACTGCTGACTTCCTGGATGCCCACGAAGCTCCGAAGCGCAGAGTTTAACTAGGTCGGTGCGGCCTGGAGACCCTTTTTATATGACAGCGGCGGGACAGGCATTCAAGCGCGTCGGTGACGATCGATCCGCTTCTAGGCGGACCACGTGGTTGGAAAGTCGGGATCTCATTGGCTAGGACAGGCGCAAGTGCTGCCCCAGGGTTCGGGTGATTAGGGGCCAACAGATTTAGATCTCAACATGCAACAAAATTCCGGGAGAAAGGGCTCAGAAATATTCGAGTCTCCAAAAATGACTAAGACAAAATGCAACCTTCGCTCCAACATAGAAAACATTAAGATTGGGTCAAATAAATTATAAAAACTACGGTAAATGAAACGAATGTTTACCTGATTAATCAAGAAGAGGTAACCGGAGGTACCTCCTGAAGGGGTTCTCGCAATAGCTGAGGTTTACGACGACGAGCAAGAGGTGGGGAGGGAAGTAGACGTATCACCAGATGGGGGAGCTGCCGTTGACTTGCATTATGTCGCCGAGGACAGCAAGCTCTTCGAAGGAGCGAGCAAGGTAAAAGATGGGTAGAAGCTCGTGAGATGCATGCCGAACGTTCTGCAAAGGCGTCCATTTAGAAGCGCGCGCGGAATTCTTCCCCGTATCTATATAACTTGTAAGAAATCGTAATAACTGTCCTCATATAGATATTTAATTAATTAACTATTTGATTTAAATATTAAATATGAGATTTAATCATGCTAAAGAAATAGTAAATACTATAAGTAATTGTAGGCTAACTCTTGTTTCGCTTGATCACCAAACACATCCTTTGTTGCTGATATAGTTTCTTTAAGCCTCTCTTCTTCATATCGTCCTTTAGTTGTTGCCACAGTAGGCTATACCAGTTTTTTGTCTGATAGACGATGGCACTGTTTGCTCTTTGATCCGTCAGCAGCCCTTTTTAGAGCTCCAGAGGTATGGTCGAATTTTCCGTGGACCTCTCTGGTGCCAGTTTCCCCCATCAGTTTGTAGTGTCCTCAGATATCACCTGGGACTGGATCTTAGTTGTCGACATCCCCCAGAAGTTTGCGTGTTCCCTAGAGTTTGGTAAGCGGCTTCTTCGGACGTCTTCAGTTAACTTCCCTTTCCTTAGCCGCCCTCAGAGGTCCTACAAGCTCCCTGCTTGTGCAGCTTCTCCCAGTATTGCAGAACTAGTACCTGAGCACCTCGATCCCTCGAGAGCCAGTAAACTCAGTAGCTTACCAACGGAATTTAAGGAACTTTTCGACTGGGACGGTAAGTCCACACATCGGACCAATGCCACGGAACAGTGTATTGACACGGGAGACGTGAGACCTGTCCGGATCCCGCCTCGACGTCTACCTACCTTCTACCAGAAAGAGTTACACGTGTAGTGCCTAGCTCTACACGAAGTGCACTTGTGAACGCTTGTCGTGACAAGCTCAAACTGAAGTACACTTGTGAGCACTTGCTGTTTCCGGCCTCTGGAACAGACAATCACAGGCTGACTCATAGAGGACCTCAAGCGACCACTGCCGAGCAGAAATCACTGCAGACGCCGTCCGTTGGCATGCGGTTGTGCGGTCGCCAATAGTCACTTCCCCATTGCCTATTCTTCATTCCTTATGCAAGGAATACTCTCTTCCTACCACTCTGGCCTCCCATGACTCCTCTTCTCCTAAGGAACCTGGCCTGACGATTACGATTGCCAGGGTTTACCTTTATTAACTCCCTGCGATATTAGTGACTTCCCGACGTGATCTGATCTCGCAACTTCTGATTTGGCCTGCTGTCTCTGCGATGCCGGTGGCTTCCTGCTGTGTCCCTGTGATATTGGTGAATTACTGGCGTGTCATTGCGATTATGGAGACTTCCCGATGTGATCTCAACTCGCAACGTCTGATGTGACTGAGCTCGATCATCATAAAACCATTTCTGACCTCTACTGATCTTCTTGTGTCATCTTTTCGTGACCGTGATAAAGAGAATTCAATCACCGACATCTAATCTTGGAGGGATATAGAGAATGAGAGTCAGAGTCAGACGGCCGAGCAATCATCACGCCCGAGCCCACCGCCCGTGATGAA